TATTGTTTTCTTGACTTCATTGAGTCTGGCTTTTGTAATCGGGAGTTGCCCCCTGCTGGCCATTAGAAACAAAGCAGATTTAATTCACTCCCATATTAGCTTCACATTTAAAAGCGATGCTCAGTCCATTGTGTGTGTGTATATATACAATCTGTATTCTCCAACACTGTTTTTAGGAACAAACTGATGGTTGCGTGGTTTGTCGGAGGAAATTTGGACAATCGTTTTAAAGAGTGTGTCCAGTGATCAGCTTCAAATGGAACTTTTCCTTTCTTCTCTCAGTACCTCTTATTCCTCATTCCTTCCTGTGACTCATGAATGGCATATCATGCACTGACCAGCCAGCCATTTGAATAAACGTACACAAGAAGACTGTGGCAGTTTCGTATGTTGCTTGTATTTAGATCTCTCATCTCTGTAGGGCTCCGCTGCCCTTGAGTCTCTCGAGCTGTGGCTAGACTGTTCAGCCAATGGCGGCTGTGATGATTTCATCTCTGCACTGTGATCCATTTTCTAACCATGCTCTGAGTCCTGATTGGCTACAATCCTTCCTTATATCCTGTTGGAGTGTGATGCCAGAACTACCCTTCAGTCCTGTAATGGCCTCTTCAGAAAGGGCCCTGCCCAGAGTCCGAAAGACTGACACTGAAAACGACCACGGCTTCGTCAGTGCTAGGTTTATGGTGTAGCTCCAGTTTGGGGTACCTTTGCAGTAAAACACCTGATGTGTCAGTATGAAAGTCCAGCTTCACATGGCTTTGTAACAGATGGACCTACCTACCGCTCAAGGATTGCAACGGATTCGAACGTTGTCATGAATTTGTCTGTCCTCTCTGCAGTTTCTAATAAATTATTCATGTTCTGGGTGCTGAGATACCCTTCAGTAACAAACATGCATACACGTGCACACACTTCATTCATTCACACATTTTACTTACCCTCACACACATGATTTACTTCTAATTTATGTTAGAACTAACTCATTTTATTTTAAACATCTGTCACATGACATACAGCACATACAACACATACACCTGCACACACCTACATACCTTTACACACACAGGCTCTCACTTTTGTGTGTTTATGCATTGCAATTACAGTGAGTAGTGTTTGAGTAAACCTGGTGATCAGTCCACTGTCAGGCTCTCATTGTCTGTCTCTTGCTGCAGGATCCTCGACCATTAGAGGGAGGCTGAGGATCTGCACGGATTTACCACCGTAAGTGTTGGAGAAATGCAGTGTGTCTGCTTAACTTCCAAACATGTAAAATATCATCTGCAGCACTGTAATGCATCTTATGTAGAAACTTACCTTTGAGTGTTTGGCATTTTGTTATGTTGGTTGTGAGGCTGCTATGACAAAACTCCTGAGCTACTTTGTTTGTCACATGACACAAGTCAAACATCACTGATATATTTTTTTGTTTCTGTGTTGTAGGGAAAATGAAGATTGTCTTGTAAAATGTCAGAGCTGGAGGAAGCTCGCTGTAACAGGACGCCAGGATGACCTCCAGGCTGGCTCATGTGCAGTTCGTCCTTCAAAACATGGATGTGAAATGTGCGTGCGCAGGTTTTTGTTTTGTTTGTTTTTTCTTTTTAAACATTTGAATAGAAACACACTGTGAAATATCTTGTTTGCAGCACTTAAGTCTAATAACTCATTTCTGTTTCTCAGGTGGCGGAGCAGTACCAGAACTCATCCAGCAGAGGGCAGTCTGCAGTCCAGAGGAGAGATGCGCTGTTTTCTCTTAATAATAAAAGATATAAACCTGAGTTTTGTTTCCATGTCTTACTTTTCACCTGATTACCTGTTTTGTGTAAGTTAGTTTCATTTAAGCGTTTCACTAAATTTAAATTGCATTAAATGAGATGTCAAACAGTGTTTTTTCTGTTTAAATTGAGGTTTGGTGCTCTCTAAGAGGAAAAGGAAAACCACCAGCGCTGTAGTGTAGTTCATTAAAGTCATTAGGGTTAATTTAATCAAGTGTTACAGTACACGTTACTCATTGAATGCTTGGAAATGGCAGAAAACTGTAAACTGCTGATGTTTACTTGGTAGACAGGTCCCAGAGGTTGATTCAGAGCCAGGAAAAACCTGCAATCGCTCATCAAACTCACTGAACTCCAAGTGGACTGAGCAGCCTGCCTACTTGCTGGATTCAGTACCTCAGCTGTGAAGCACTCTGATAGGAGTCCAGTCCAATTACAATTAAGGCTAAAGGTGCAATGTTTCCGCTGCTGGCCCACACTTGCATCTCGAGTATTGGCTGTCAGTCTTGGAGCAGGTCCAGCCGAGAAGCAGCAAGATGATCCGGAGCAGTCTGAAGGCACAATCTGAATATGTGTCGGATCGTTGTTGTTCTACCTGAGCTCCACCCTGGCTCAAAAACAGGCTCCTAAAGGCCAAAAACACAAATTAAAGTGAAAACTTGACTTAAATTAGTGCTAAAGTGAGTCACCTGAGCTCAACTTGCCATAGCATCTATGGAGGGTTTAAATATGTCTTACAAAAAGCTTCAGGCAAGCCGGTGTGAATGAAACTCAAAACCAAACAATGGCATGATCCAGTGTGATTTAATCCCCCACAAGAACAAAAACATGCTGTCCTCTTTTACCCTGCGGTTGAAAGTTGAAAGTTTGCTATGCGGCATTATGTCAGTGCGGTTTGGTGCTGGAAGACTTTTGTTTTTTTAACTTTCCTTAATGGTTGTCAATTTTCAGAAATGGACCCATGAGTGTGATTTGTAATGCCTGTTTCCCACCACCGTGCTACTGTTGCCCAGTCTAGGACCGCTTCCATGCATTTCCATTAAAAACAGGACCGGTGCTGACTCTGCTGGGCCTAAAGCTGGAATCAGTAGTCATGTCAGGGGCTATTTAACCTACACGATGGGGCTGTGATAATGTGAGCAGTGAATAACTCACCTTTTGTCTCGCAACTAAGCTTGTGAAATGCACGTTACATAATTCTGTAATTTGTCTTAGGGAGAAAGTGTTCAAGTTTATACTGATCGATTTAGATTTTTGTTATAATAATAACAAGCAAATCAGCGGTTTGTGATCTTAAGCATCAGGACAACACAAAACAGATAGCGGCGTCTCAAATATTAAAGATTAACTTAAATTTTAACGTAACTACTGGAGCATAAATTCACTGTGTTAAACAAACATTATGAAACATAAATCGTGAAATTGCTAAAATTACAGTCCAATATATTTGGTGATCTCACGTTATCAAAAATAAATGAGTACATTTTTTAAAATTTCGAAACCATTAAAATGAATAAAAGTTACTGAAATAACTTAAAAGCAGAAAATGTTGTGATGCTGAAATCGTGAGATGAAGTAAACAATAATTAAATGATGCCAGTTAACTGTTGGGTTTATTCATTTACATCACAGCTGCTTATTTTCTAAGCAGCTCATGCTTTCTGTATGAAAACATCTAATAAATATAAGCTGTCAGATTGCTGCGTGCTACTGGAGCTTAAAGTTTAATTAAATATACCAGACATACAAAGCCAAATAAACAGCCAGTGAAGGAGTACTGGATAACGCTCAGACAGACATGATATTTTTTCCAAAAAAAAATATTCACGTGGACTTTCTCTCTTGGATACATGCTTCAAATCCAAGAGAACAAATATTAACAAACCTAGAGAACAAGTAACAGGTTTCACAAATATACAGGGAATTAACAGTGGACCAATCAGGATAGGGGATTGTTTAAATAAAAAGTTGTTTGGATTGTATGAATAGCAGGATCACTTTGTTGTTGTTTTTTGTTTGTAAAAAAGTTGATCATTATATTTCTGAAAAAAGAGCTTCCTGTTTGGGATCACCACCGAACCGGGGTCCTGTTTATTCTCTCACATGAACCTTTCCTGGACACTTCCTCACCCACCACCTGCTGCCTCGACTGTAAGCCGACCTGGTGAAGAGGGAAAAGGAGCGAGGGAGAGTCGGTAGTGTCCACCTGGCCGGCTCTATTCATGCATCATTAATGGCCCTGCATCATTGATGCGGTCCGCTGCCCACAGATAGAAGTGGTACAATGTCCTCATCCACCCCCCGCAGCCTGTAGACAGGCAGGCTATAGATCCAGGTCTTTAGGTGAAGCCATATCTGCCATCCACCTCGTGACCATGCTATCACTTTCACTAGTCTTCATGTGTTGCAGCAGAAATCAGTGTCTAGATTAGCTTAGAGAGCATATTTTCAGGTGTATTCTCCTGCAGGTGTAACACACCCACAGATAAATGAGCGGCACTGCTGGAGCTGCTCCCCCGACAGCTGTCCTGGGTTTGGACGCCGGCGGATCGTGGCGGCAGAGAGGCGCCCAGAGGAGCGGAGCTTTGGTCCAGACCTACCTGCTCACCGGCTCCATCCTCCCTCCACCTTCAGCGGTGGGAAACAGGGCAGCTAAAACCCCCCTGAAGCTGCCCTCGCTCGTAGCTGGAGCCAAAGGTCCCCGCGGGCGAAGCAGCATGGCTCGTCTCAGGTAAGAAGTAAAGAAACAAAAGTAGAAGTAGAAATAACTTAACTTTCTTGATGCATTCTGACAGGTCAAAGTCCAAACAATATAAAATTACAATAATGTGGAGATTAACTCACATAAATAATAAAACTATATACTAATTAATACATGAATTAGATTGTTACACATCTCTTTTGTGTGCATCATGTTTTTGGAGGAGGAATGATGTCCTTCGGTTATTTTGTATCCAGCTATTCTGATCTCAGCCTCTCTTTAGTTTCGTGTCAGTGACGCCTGCAGTATTGCACATTTTTCCTCATGAATGAAAATAATAAAATCAACATGAAGTCTTAAACATGTTGTTCTTTGTTGTTTTCTAGATTAAGCTGTTTAAATAAATTTGTTTTATCAGCATTACCTGACATTATAAGTGACTGATTATACTTTCCTGATTTTCTGTTACACTCATTATATGCATACTGCTAAAGTGGTGGATGATCATATTGAAAATATCCAAATAATGAGGTCGGTATATGTAGTACAATCACGCGTGTCTTTATTTTTGTTGTACAGTCAGCAGAAGTCCCACAACAATAATGCTAAATGTAATAAATAGAAAATAAATATACAAAAAAAGCAACTTTTAAAAAATAAGTCTATTATTTAAAAGATCACAAATTAGTTTTTCAGACTGTAGGTCCTGCATGTTGGCATCCTGTACCGACAGTGTTGGGGAGTAACGGAATACACGTACCGCCGTTACGTATTTAAAATACAAAATATGAGTAACTGTATTCCGTTACAGTTA